AAAAAAAAAAAAAAAAAAAAAAGAATACCGTTCCATAGACCAGAATCAAGAGTAGATGTTTAACAAAAGTTTTAATTAAAAATAAATTAAATAAAAAATAAATACTGTTCCACAAACAGGATAACCACTACCAGAAAAAAGAAAAACATATTTTTGTGGGGTGTGGAGAAATTGGAAACTTGCACATTGCCAATGGGATGTAAAACGATACAGTTTCTATGAAAAACGATTTGGCAGTTCCTCAAAAAATTAAACATGTAATTACCATCTGATCCAACAATTCCATTCCTAGGAATATACCCCCAAAAACTGAAAGCAGGGACTCAGACAGACACTTGTACACCGATGTTCATAGCAGTACTGTTCACAACAGCTGGAAACAACCTGAATGTTTATCAACTGAATGAAGAAAGAAAATGTGAATGAATGAAAATGAATGAATAAAGAAAATGTGGTATACACATACAATGGAGCATTTTTCAGCCTTCAAAAGGAGGGACATTCTGATGGATGCTTTTAAGAGATAAGCCTTGAAAATATGCCAAGTGACATAAGCCAGTCACAAAAGGACAAATATTGTATGATTCCACTTATGTGAGGTACCGAAAATAGGCAAATTCATAGACAAAGTAAAACAGAGGTTACCAGGGACTGGGGGGAGTGGGAATGAGGAGTTATTGTTTAATGGATATACAATTTCTATGTGGGATAATGAAAAAATTCTGGAAAGTGGTGATGGTTGCACAACAATGTGAATGTACTTAATGCCACTGAATTGTAAAAGGTTATAAAACAGTCAATTTTGTGTTATGTATTACCAAAATTCTAAAAAGAATGTTAGCTGTAGATTTTTAGAAGATTCTCCTCTGTTCCTATTGTACTGACAGTTTTGTTTACAAATGGTTGTTGAATTCTGCCAAACTCCTATTGCATTAACTGATAAAATAATTAATTTTCTTCTTTAGCCTATTGATATGACCGACATTACATGATTTAAATTAGAAAAAAATGTTTTAACAAAAGAAATTTTTGCTTTATGTTGGTTTATGGCTCAGGATATGTCTATCTTCGTCTATGTTTCCAAAGGCACATGAAAAGAATATGTATTCTGTTCTTATTGGTTGGAATGTCTGCCATTTAAGTTTTATTTCTGTTTGTTCTCTGGGCTTTTTGCCTCTTTGTTTTCTTTACAACTTTCTCATGGGTTACTCAAACTTTTTTATAGTTCTGTCTTGATTTGCCTACAGTGTTTCTTAGTGTATTTCATTGTATAGCTTTTTGCTTTTTTTTTTTTTGGAGACAGTATCATTCTGTTGCTCAGGCTGGAGTGCAATGGCACGATCTCGGCTCACTGCATCCTCCTCCTCCCGAGTTCACGCAATTCTTATGCCTCAGCATCCTGAGTAGCCGGGATTACAGGCCCCCGCCACCACACCTGGCTAATTTTTGTATTTTTAGTAGAGATGGGGTTTCGTCATGTTGGCCAGGCTGGTCTTGAACTCCTGACCTCAGGTGATCCCCCTGCCTTGGCCTCCCAAAGTGCTGGGATTACAGGTGTGAGCCACCATGCCCAGCCATTGTATAGCTTTTTAAGTGGTTGCTCTAGGTGCTACATTACATACATATAGCTTATCATAATTTACTGGTGTCATCATTTTACCAGTTTGCTATTTTGTTGTTTTTTTGAGGCAGGGTCTCACTCTGACACCTAGGCTGGAGAGCAGCAGCATGATCATGGCTCACTATACCTTCAATCTCCCAGTCTACAGCAATCCTCCCACCTCAGCCTCCCAAGTTGCTGGGACCAGGTGTGCATCACCACACCTGGCTAATTTTTTTTTTTTTTTTTTAGAGACGGGGTGTTACTGTGTTGCCCAGGCTGGTTTCAAACTCCTGAGCTTGAGCAATCCTCCTGCCTCAGCCTCACAAAGTGCTCGTATTAGAGGATAAGCCACCACACCTGGCCCATCTTACCAGTTTGAATCATTGTACAGAACTTACCTCCCATTACATCCCCTTACTCTTTCTGTTTCAAAACATAATTTTCCTAAGTATTTCCTCTATATACATTCAAATCCACATCAGATCATACGATAATCTTTGCTTCCGCCATCAACAAGTTTAGAAAATTCATGTAGAATAGCGATGCCTACTACACTTACCCTATACGTCTTCCTTACCATGTTCTTTTCTTCCTGACTGTTTCAGGGGACCCTGCTACAAAGAACTACCTGATACTGGGTAATTCATGAAAAAAAGAGGTTTAATTAACTCACAGTTCCACAGGCTGCACATGAAGCATGGAAGGGAGGCCTCAGGAAACTTACAATCATGGTGGAAGGATGAAGGAGAAGCAAGTAAATCTTCACATTGTGGCAGGAGAAAGAGCAAGCAAGAGAGGGAAGTGCTACACACTTTTAAACTATCAGATCTCGTGAGAACTCATGATCACAAAAAGAGCATGAGGGAAATCTGCCTCCGCACCACAGCCCCTGCCATAGCTGCCTCTGAGCCTGCTGCCGCCACCTCTGAAAAGATGGCTGGGCCACCCATGTAAGAGATCTTGGAAAATCTGCCAGGGATGTCTTCACCAAGGGCTATGGATTTGGCTTAATAGAACTTGATTTGAAAACAAAAGAGAAGAATGGATTGGAATTTACAAGCTCAGGCTCAGCCAACAGTGAGACCACCAAAGTGACAGGCCGTCTGGAAACCAAGTACAGATGGACTGAATATGGCCTGACATTTACAGAGAAATAGAACACTGACAACATACCAGGCACTGAGGTTACTGTGGAAGATCAGCTTTCACATGAACTGAAGGTGACTTTCAATTCATCCTTCTCACCTAACACTGGGGAAAAAAATGCTAAAATCAAGACAGGGTACAAGCAGGAGCACATTAACCTGGGCTGAGACATGGATTTTGACATTGCTGGGCCCTCAATCCAGGGTGCTCTGGTGCTGGGTTACGAGGGCTGGCTGGCCAGCTACCAGATGAATTTTGAGAATGCAAAGTCCCGAGTGACCCAGAGCAACAGTGCAGTTGGCTACAAGACTGATGAATTCCAGCTTCACACTAAAGTGAATGATAGGACAGTTTGGCAGCTCCATTTACCAGAAGGTGAACAAGTTGGAGACTACTGTCAATCTCACCTGGACAGCAGGAAACAGTAACACTAGCTTCGGAATAGCAGCCAAGTATCAGATCGACCCCGATGCCTGCTTCTCAGCTAAAGTGAACAACTCCAGCCTGAGAGGTTTAGGATACACTCAGACCCTAAAGCCAGGTATCAAACTGACACTGTCAGCTCTCCTGGATGGCAAAAATGTCAATGCTGGTGGTCACAAGCTTGGTTGAGGACTGGAATTTCAAGCATAAATGAACACTGTATTGTTTAATTTTAAACTATTTTTGGCCGGGCACGGTGGCTCATGCGTGTAATCCCAGCACTTTGGGAGGCCGAGGCGGGCGGATCATGAGGTCAGGAAATCAAGACCATCCTGGCTAACACGGTGAAACCCTGTCTCTACTAAAAATACAAAAAATTAGCC